TTCTGTATGAAAGACTGGTCTTAAAGCCCTCCCAATGTGTTCTCCAACCTCATAAAACATTTTAGAAAAAGGCTCAGTGCCGTTATCCTCGCAAGGGGAGGGTGCCGGAGAATTGAAAACCAGGGTGCCAATAATTTTGAAAAGATATTACTTGTTAAACAAAATCTCTTTCTCTGAGCAATTGTATTAGTATAAATGTTTTGAGCATACAATATAGCTCAGTATTTGTATTATTTATTTTATTCAGTATTTTTTGCTCATCTTTAGCAAGGGTGCCAATAATCTCGGCTGTGACTGTAGATCAAACTGGAGACAGAACCTGAAGACAGTCACAGGTTTCTCTATCTACAGAGCACAACCACAGCCGCAGGTTCACATATTTAATAGTTTCTACCTAGCAGTACATACTGTACGACTCCAATGGACTGTTTTGACCCACATGCCCTGAGTTCATCTAACCACCTGTCCTCTGTATTTATTCAAGTATCAAGTGGAATAGTAGTAGCTTTTTAAATCACATATCAAATTTGCAGACATTCCTCAATCCCTTACATTGGTTTTTCTGTCCAGCGCCTGAACAAGTTGGATGTTGGCTGTGGGAATAGTATTTTTCCTTTCTCATTGATTATACCTGCTGTGCTGTAGGAGGTTAACTAACTAAGTGACTCACTGGATTCAACCTGGCTGTGAGGCTGCTGGGGGAAAGAAGCATCAAAGATGTGTCATATCCATAGACTGACTCACTGGAGCCTAATTATCTCAAAGCCCCTGTAGGGATGAAGAGGAACTGGTAGGCTCCACACACACACACACACACACACACACCCGGCAGGAGGATTCTGTTATTTGTGGCAGTGAGAGTGTAGGTCACAGACCAGAGGTTACAAATGAGCGGAGAGAGAGAGTGAAGGAAAGATGGAGAGAGAAAGAGCGGGAGAGAGAGGCCGAACGCATACGTTACTTTCATTAATTGCGGTAATGAATCTGGTTTTGATGCGAGTGAGTACGTATGAGTGTGACTGTGTGGAACCCCCCCTCCCCCCCCCCCCCCCCCCCCCCCCCCCCCCCCCCCCCTCCCGGTTGCTGCAAACCAACAAGTGGGAAACAAGGTTTGAGTTGACATATAAATACTCCCCTAGATTTATGCCCATTGGTTGAAAGAAAGGAAAGTGATTATTGCACTAGTGAGCCCATAGGTTAATCAGCAAGCGTGATGGAATTTCCTTAGAGTGCCATGCTCATAGGCTGAAGTTAATAGGTGAATGACATTCCTCACGCTTGCTAATAGTAAAGGAGGAAAGACGTGACGCTATGCTGACAAGGTAACATTATAGACTACCATAGATACCTGTTATGCTGACAAGGTAACATTATAGACTACCATAGATACCTGTTATGCTGACGAGGTAACATTATAGACTACCATAGATACCTGCTATGCTGACAAGGTAACATTATAGACTACCATAGATACCTGTTATGCTGACAAGGTAACATTATAGACTACCATAGATACCTGTTATGCTGACAAGGTAACATTATAGACTACCATAGATACCTGTTATGCTGACGAGGTAACATTATAGACTACCATAGATACCTGCTATGCTGACAAGGTAACATTATAGACTACCATAGATACCTGTTATGCTGACAAGGTAACATTATAGACTACCATAGATACCTGTTATGCTGACAAGGTAACATTATAGACTACCATAGATACCTGTTATGCTGACGAGGTAACATTATAGACTACCATAGATACCTGCTATGCTGACAAGGTAACATTATAGACTACCATAGATACCTGTTATGCTGACAAGGTAACATTATAGACTACCATAGATACCTGCTATGCTGACAAGGTAACATTATAGACTACCATAGATACCTGCTATGCTGACGAGGTAACATTATAGACTACCATAGATACCTGTTATGCTGACAAGGTAACATTATAGACTACCATAGATACCTGCTATGCTGACAAGGTAACATTATAGACTACCATAGATACCTGTTATGCTGACGAGGTAACATTATAGACTACCATAGATACCTGTTATGCTGACAAGGTAACATTATAGACTACCATAGATACCTGCTATGCTGACAAGGTAACATTATAGACTACCATAGATACCTGTTATGCTGACGAGGTAACATTATAGACTACCATAGATACCTGTTATGCTGACAAGGTAACATTATAGACTACCATAGATACCTGTTATGCTGACAAGGTAACATTATAGACTACCATAGATACCTGTTATGCTGACAAGGTAACATTATAGACTACCATAGATACCTGCTATGCTGACGAGGTAACATTATAGACTACCATAGATACCTGCTATGCTGACAAGGTAACATTATAGACTACCATAGATACCTGCTATGCTGACAAGGTAACATTATAGACTACCATAGATACCTGCTATGCTGACGAGGTAACATTATAGACTACCATAGATACCTGCTATGCTGACAAGGTAACATTATAGACTACCATAGATACCTGCTATGCTGACGAGGTAACATTATAGACTACCATAGATACCTGCTATGCTGACGAGGTAACATTATAGACTACCATAGATACCTGTTATGCTGACGAGGTAACATTATAGACACTACCATAGATACCTGCTATGCTTATGAGGTAACGTTATAATCATTACCAAATAAATACCTGCTATGCTAATGAGCTAACATTATAAATGTGACCCTATCAATACAGGCTATGCTGTTGAGGTAACTTTATAGACACTACCTTATAAATACCTGCTATTCCGATGAGTGAGATAGGAAGCAATGTGAATTATATGCGTTCACTAGATTAATAAAAAGTGAAGAGCCATTCAGACCAGCCTTCCTGATTGAACTTTCGTAAACTACATTACACTCATTGAATGTCCTCTTGTGTGTGTGTAAGTATATGTTTGTTTGTGTGTGTGTGTGTAAGTATATGATCCTCAACACTGGGGCCCCACAAGGGTGCGTGCTCAGCCCCCTCCTGTACTCCCTGTTCACCCATGACTGCATGGCCAAGCACGCCTCCAACTCAAGTTTGCAGACGACACAACAGTAGTAGGCTTGATTACCAACAATGATGAGACAGCCTACAGGGAGGATTTGAGGGCTCTGGGAGTGTGGTGCCAGGAAAATAACCTCTCACTCAACATCAACAAAACAAAGGTGATGATCGTGGACTTCAGGAAACAGCAGAGGGAGCACCCCCCTATCCACATCGACGGGACCGCAGTTGAGAAGGTGGAAAGCTTCAAGTTCCTCGGCGTACACATCACTAACAAACTGAAATGGTCCACCAGACAGTGTGGTAAAGAAGGCTGGGCACCTAAAACCCTCACAAACTTTTACAGATGCACAATTGAGAGCATCCTGTCGGGCTGTATCACTGCCTGGTACGGCAACCGCACCGCCCGCAACCGCAGGGCTCTCCAGAGGGTGGTGCGGTCTGCCCAACGCATCACCGGGGGCAAACTACCAGCCCTCCAGGACACCTACAGCACCCGATGTCACAGGAAGCCAAAAAGATAATCAAGGACAACAACCGCCCGAGCCACTGCCTGTTCACCCCGCTATCTTTCAGAAGGCGAGGTCAGTACAGGTGTATCAAAGCTGTGACCGAGAGACTGAAAAACAGCTTCTATCTCAAGGCCATCAGACTGTTAAATAGCCTTCACTAGCACATTAGAGGCTGCTGCTTATATACGTAGATTAGAAATCATTGGCCACTTTAATAAATGGCAGTGGTGGAAAGTACTTAAGTAAAATTACTTTAAACTACTACTTAAGTTGTTTTTTGGGGTATCTGTACTTTACTTTACTATTTATATTTTTGGCAACTTTTACTTTTACTTCACTACATTCTTAATGAAAATAATGTTATTTTTACTCCATACATTTTCCGTGACACCCAAAAGTACTAATTTCATTTTGACAGGAAAATTGTCAAATTCACACACTTATCAAGAGAACATCCCTGGTCATCCCTACTGCCTCTGATCTGGCGGACTCACTAAACACAAATGCTTCGTTTGTAAATGATGTCTGAGTGTTGGAGTGTGCCCCTGGCTATCCGTCAATTAAAAAACAATAAGAACATTGTGCCGTCTGGTTTGCTTAATATAAGGAATTTGAAATGATTTTTACTTTTACTTTTACTTTTGATACTTAAGTACATTTTAGCAATTGCATTTACTTTTGATACTTAAGTATATTTAAAACCAAATACTTTTACTCAAGTAGTATTTTACTGGGTGACATTCACTTTTACTTGAGTCATTTTCTATGAATGTATCTTTACTTTTACTCCAGTGTGAAAATTGAGTACTTTTTCCACCACTGATAAATGTAACACTAGTCACTTTAATGTTTACATATCTTGCATTACTCATCTCATATGTATATAATGTATTCTATACTATTCTACTGTATCTTGTCTATGCCACTCTGACATTGCTCCTCCATATATTTATTTATATATTCTTAATTCCGTTGCTTTACTTAGATTTGTGTGAATTGGGTATATGTTGTGAAATTGTTAGATATTACTTGTCAGATATACTGCACTGTTGGAGCTAGAAACACAAGCATTTCGCTACACCCGCAATAACATCTGCTAAACACGTGTATGTGACCAATAACATTTGATTTGATTTGATTTGATACAGACAGACAGACAGGTAGGAGCTGGCAACCTTCCCCCCTTCCGTGGAGGAGGAGAGACAGAGAGATACACTGGAAAGGAGGGGTAGGAGGAGGAGGGGGGGTGGCTACAAAGTGAGAGTATCAGACTCTCAAAAGACCATATCTGAGGATTGGCTCCACATGCAGGAGTCTTGCGCAGCTGTAATTACCCGCGGATATATTATCGGAAAGCCGGATAACTGTAGGAGGACCTGAGGAGAAGTCGCCATATCTTGTGTTAAACGTTCGGATTAGTGCATCTCCCATTCCCGGTTGCCATTATGGGAGGGATAGATCGGCAGCGGAGGGTATCTCTGGCTCTTACCTTGAACTTCCTCGCGCTGATTCTAGCCGTGACTGCGTTGACTACCAGCTACTGGTGTGAGGGGACACGGAAAGTTGCGAAACCTTTCTGTACCGGACCGTTCACCACGAAACAGTCGTTCTGTATCAGGTTCAACAGCTCGAACATTAACGACAGCAGACTGGTCCAGTACATCTGGGAGTCTGGCGAGGACAAGTACATTATGAGGAAGTTCCACACCGGGATCTGGTTTTCGTGCGAGGAGAACGTCAATATGACTGGTAAGAGAGAGATGGTGCTTTCAAGACAACTGGAAACTCGGGGGAAAACGGTCAAATCATGACGTCAGTGATTCTCAAGATGGAAAGTCGGAGCTCTAGAAAGATGCCAGATTTTCCGACATGGAATTCCTAGTTGGATGACCAGCTTGTTTTTTTCCCAAGTTCCAATTTGTCTTGAACGCACTGAAGTCGGAAGTCGGAGATTTCCGAGTTCCCAGTTGTTTTGAATGGGGGTAGAGAAGCTAAGAGAACAAAACTTTTTTGCGCGCAGAGATGTGACGCACCTGCACGCATGTATAAACATAAAGGAAATAGTCTCGTTTTTAAATGTAAAGTTATAATTGGCTTCTCACAATCATGGACTATGCAAATGTATGTATTTGTTCTTGTCTTTTGAGCGAAATCAAATGACCATAGTTGTTCTGTGAGCTGTATAAGGTAATATGTTTGTCATTTTACTGTTAAATTTAAAGAGGAAATATGTCATTAAAACAATAACAAAGTTGAGTTAAATAGCTGAGGGATGGGGCTGGGAAAATGTAACCACTCTCAAATTCATAGACAGAGCTATGGAAGCAAGGGCTGACCATCCATGATATAAACATTATAGTTTTAACCATGTTTTGAGGCTGTTTGTTTACATTTACATTATAAACGTTGGAGTAAAACAAGTTTATAATGTGAGTTCTGATAGGGTATGACAATTTAACTAAGCTCATGAGGAATGTATAAGTTATACTCTTCAAGAGTCAATGGGTAGGCCTATATATCATACATTTACCGTTTAAAAGAAAATGAAACAATCCCTCCTTGATTAATTGAATACCGACACTGTGACATAGTTGCATGTGTTGCATGTGAAGGGTTTTTGGAGCTATTGATGGAATGACAGTGTCCATCTCTGAAATTGCACGTTCCTTCAAAAATATTGGATAGCCTAAGTGAAAGATTACACTCAACAAGAGCAAGAATGTCAAGCGTGAGAAATTACATCGACAGTTCACAATACATTTCTAACAATAGACCTATTTTTGAACGGATAACTGTTGCTGACCGATCATCGGATTTAAGAACACACATTTAAGATTCTGAGCCCATTATGGAAGAAAAACAGAGAAATTCTGAACAGAATGGATAAAATAGCCTACAGATTTTTACAGTCACGTAATTATGTAATGAATTAGTCTGCAAACAGTCTGAGAATTGGACGGTAATTCAATATGTTTGGTGTCAATCTTGTGTCACTGGGGTGGCCAACCGTCGTCCCGAAGAGCTGCTGGGTATGCTATGCATGCAGGCTTTTTCTCCAACCCTGCTCTGTTACACACCTGATTCAACGTCCTGCAGAGTAGTAGAATCAGGTGTGTTTCAACAGGGAGGGAGCAAAAGACTGCACAGGTTTAGCCACCTTAGAAATATGATGACTGAGTGTTTGACTGTATTGTTTTTGATTGTGTGGGATATTCTATTTCAGGTGAAAACTGCAGAAGTTTCATTTATGTCACACCCTCACATGAAAGAGGTAGGTTTTGTGTAATAATGTGTTATTACATTGTAATTGATGTGTTATTAACACAATTTGCTATGCATCTGTAAATGGCTATATGGATGTTTTATTTTTTCAAGATTCCAGTCATCTCTCATATCAGGAATTGCAAGTGCAGCTCAAAAGGTGCAAATTGAACCCAGTCACTTAATAATCATAGAGTAGGTTCACATGCTTAAGGCTTATTTGGAAGTGTCAATTGAAAAGTGCAAACCTAACAGAATTGAAGAAGAGTAGAAACACTGCGTTGTCCTGGGGAGCTACTGGGATTGCAGGCTTTTGTTCCTGCCCAGCATTAACACACCTGATTCTGCTAATCTAGGTCCTGATAAGCAGTTGATTAGTAGAATCTGGTGTGTTAGCTGTGCTGTAGTCACTCATTCAAATCCAGTAGAGTTTGGACTTCTATAGTTCTACAAAGAGGATGAGAGGATGGATAGAAAGAGAGAGGATGAATAGAGAGTGTCTCACTCTGCCAATCAGACATTCCTCCTCCTCCGTGTTGGCACACTAATTCACTACCACACAAAATACTGTTCAACACACAAACAAACACACACAAACACACAACCTGTCCGTGCCTAATTCAGTACCACACAAAAGACTGTTGAATAGCTTCCTGACAGGACAAGACCAGACACATGCACTTGCTGGAATTAAATCTTCCTGTGACATTGACAGAATAAAATAATGAGAATGACAGACACCCAAAACTGATTGTAATTTAGTTGTAACTTCACCTGTTCTATTCACCTGTTCAGTCTGAGAGATGTGATTAAACATGTTCAATTGTGAACTCAATTGATATTGAGTCCAATGTCACTGTCTCTGTGCCCAAAAGGGGCATTATTATGACTTATTTCAAAAGGGACCTTGTTGGTTTTAATGTACTCTCAATCTCAGTTATGATTTGATTTCATCCAATAAGTCCATACCTTTCTCTGTGCTTTTGTGATGGGGGATATGTTGGTTAGGAAATTTAAGTAATTGAAATAGCTAAAGGGATACTCTCAGGTAGACAAAAAAAATACAAAATGTGAAAGAGACAGCCCCATCGATGTGGATGGGGGCGTGTTCGTCCCTTCGTTTCCTGTAGTCCACGATCAGCACCTTTGTCTTGCTGACATTGAGGAAGAGGTTGTTGTCCTGGCACCACACTTCCAGGGCTCTGATCTCCTCCCTATAGGCTGCCTCATCGTCGTCGGTGATCAGTCCTACCACCGTTGTGCAGTCGTGGGTGAACAGGGAGTACAGGAGGGGACTAAGCACACACCCCTGAGCGGCACCCGTGTTGATGGTCAGCGTGGCGTATGTGTTGTTGCCTACCCTCACCACCTGGGGGGGGGGGGGGGGGGGGGGGCGTCAGGAAGTCCAGGATCCAGTTGTAGAGGGAGGTGTTCAGTTCCAGGGTCTTGAGCTTGGTGATGAGCTTGGAGGGGACTATGGTGTTGAATGCTCTATGAACAGCATTCTTACATAGGTATTCCTTTAGTCCAGGTGGGTGAGGGCAGTGTGGAGTGCAATAGCAATTGTGTCATCTGTGGATTTGTTGGGGCAGTATGCGAATTGGAGTAGGTCCAGGGTGATGATGGTGTTGATTGGCGTTCTTGGGCACGGGGACTATGGTGGTCTGCTTGAAACAAGTTGGTATTTAAGACCAGGTCAGGGATAGGTTGAAAATGTCAGTGAAGACACTTGCCAGCTGGTCAGCGCATGCTCTGAGTACACGTCCTGGTATTATGTCTGGCCCCGCAACCTTGCGAATGTTAACCTGTTTAAAGATCTTACTCACATCGGCTACGAAGAGCGAGATCACGCAGTCATCTGGAACAGCTGGTGCTCTCATGCATGGTTCAATGTTGCTTGCCTCGAAGCAAGCATAGAAGGCATTTAGCTCGTCTGGTAGGCTTGCGTCGCTGGGCATAGTAATACCTATGTAACTACCGTTTGTAACTATGTTGTTACTACAGTTATTACTGTGTAGTTACATAGTAATAGGGGTAACTTAATGTAACGTTTTACCATCCGTGGTCATATCAAGGACCATTCACCCCACCATCCATAGCCCAGGCAGCGAGTGTAGGTCAAGTGGGGTGTGTGTGTGTGTGTGTGAACGAGCATGAGTGTGGTGTGCGGCGTGTGTGTCTGTCTTAGAGACAGATACATCTTCTCTGTGACAGTGAAGGTTAATGATATGGGTGAATGGTTCACTGGTCCTACTCCCTCACCTAACCTCCCCCACCCACCCTCTCTCTCTCTCTCTCTCTCTCTCTCTCTCTCTCTCTCTCTCTCTCTCTCTCTCTCTCTCTCTCTCTCTCTCTCTCTCTCTCTCTCTCTCTCTCTCTCGCTCCTTCTCTCCCTGTAGGAGTGCTGTGGCTGTGTATCGTGGCAGAATGTCTGTATATTCTCCTCCTGGCTACCGGAGGCATGCTCATGTCCATAGAGGCGTGTCACTTAGGAAACGTCATCGACGGCCTCAAACTCAACGCCTTCGCTGCCATATTCACTGTCCTTTCAGGTAACAACAATGTTCATGCTTTTTTTTGTTTGCACACGTGCATGTGCTTCTTGCTATTGAGTCAGTCCCTTTTCTCCCCTCCTCACTGTTAGGGTTAGGGTTAGAACAATGTTTAGTTTGTTAGTTTGCGTCTCAACCTTTTGATGCTGATTGGGACAATAGAAACCCTGCAGATCAGCACTGTCTTCACACTGGCAGCTTTAGGCAGCTAAAATAGCTCACTGCTATCTATGGGGCTGCAGACTGGGCTGGACTTGACAGTTACTCTTCCTATGAGGCTGTTTCCACCCAAGGAGCATTTGTCTTTTTAAGACGGCTGGTCTAGTTTTGTCTGGATTAGTATTGATCTGGTCCTGGTGGATGGATGTTGGTTATTAGAGGAGTTCACTTGCCTTCTGCAGACACAAGGCTTCAGTGTTCTGTTGGATAAGTGATGGTCTAGAGTAGACTCTAGACCCACCGAGCTGGTTTGTCTGCTCCTGGACTGTGCTCAAATGCTCGAGTAGGCTTAATCTGGATCCGGAAAACAAGACAATAATGTCTGAGTGGATGTTGGCTATGCTATCTGTCATCCAAACCTCTTGGCAGTCTTGCGTCCAGGTAATTTGCGGTCGTTTGGTTGGTAGGAAAGAACCAAGAGTGAGTAATGAAATGGTTTTATGTCCCCCTTTAATGGAATGGATGACCAAGCCACCTCAAGTCAACCACTGATTAAACAGACATTTAAAAACACAATTAAACTGTTCGCAAATAAAAACAGTCTCATCTCAGGGGAGTTATCCTGCCCTGCCTACAAACAACAAAATTAATCAATAAAAGGGTTTACTGTTGTTCCTGTTTTTAATGTGTTAATATAGTTTATAGAGAGGCTTACACAGTTTACCTAGCTCAGCATCTTGTTATAATGATTTCCAGAAGAATGCTAAAGGCCAGACCAGAGGCTAGAGAAACCATTATTAAACGTATGTATAATGGGGGTGTATGAAGAAAGAAAGAGGGATACCTAGTCAGTTGTACAACTGAAATGTGTCTTCCGCATTTAACCCAACCCCTCTGAATCAGAGAGGTGCGGGGGGCTGCCTTAATCAACATCCACGTCATCGGCGCCCGGGGAACAGTGGGTTAACTGCCTTGCTCAGGGGCAGAACGACATATTTTTACCTTGTCAGCTCGGGGATTCAATCCAGCAACCTTTTGGTTACGGACCCAACGCTCCTACCCGCCAGCCTAGAGGGGGAGAGAGGGAGTATGGAGGGAGAGAGAGGGGGGGAGGGGTATGAAAGGAGAGAGAGGGGGGGATATGGAGGGAAATCGTGAGGGAGAGCGGGAGAGAGCGAGAGAGAGAAAGAGAGAGGTCTTTGTTTTAGCACAAACAGCCCATATGGGTGATTAACTTTATACTTTACCATTACCAAGAAGAGAACAATTCCCCCAACCCTTCAGCTTGGTTCACCCACCACTGGGAAATAAGCCTAGCTAAGTTTTAGGGAGGAAATATAAAGTTGTGTACTAGTAGAGGTGCTGCCTGAAGGAAGTTCTGAATGTGATTGATGGAAGACACATTGAGTATGTTTACATGCACACTAATAATGAGATATTCAACTGATTATGGCAGTAGGCCGAGTATACAATAGTCATGTAAACACTTCCCAGCTAGCACATTTGGTTCCTTGGAAGTTGTGAGAACATATGTTTTTGATTTCACATTGATTGTGTGAACGAAGCCATATGTTTCCTGACCGGTAAAACTGAATGTTTTTTAAACATTCTGAAAACAAAAGTAAACATTTCAATAAGACTTTTAAAAACAATGCTAGCTTATTTTGGGTAAAAAAACATTTATTTCCCTATAGGGTAATCCCAGGGAGAAGGATCACTCCAGCCCTGTGCCGCGGAGATTAAAAGCTGTAGGCTATATTCTCCATGCCATTAGAGCATGGCGTTTGCAACGCCAGGGTTGTGGGTTCGATTCCCACGGGGGGCCAGTATAAAAAAAATATGTATTCACTAACTGTAAGTCGCTCTGGATAAGAGCGTCTGCTAAATGACTAAAATGTAAAAATGTAAATGGGTCGACTGAGTGGGTGGATATCTGGACAGAACACAGGAGTTGATCTCTTCATTGGGTGACTGATCTGTGCTTGGGAGAAAGAGATAAAGATTGGCAGAGAGACAGGGTTGCCAGCTCATTTCCCGCCAGATTTTTCCCATCAGACCCAAGATTTGAACTGGCAACCCTTTGGTTGCTGGCTTGCCTCTCTAACCGTTAGGCTACCTGCCACCTTGATTGGCAATGATTGGCAGAGAGGGAGAGAGATTGGAGGTTTTGGCAGAGAGAGGGGAAGAGAGCAGAATTACAATTGTATGCAGCATGACACCAAGTTAGCCAACAGGCCAGTTAAGTGGTCATTCTGCCAATCCTCTACACTGGCACATCTCTGCTCTGCTTAACCAAGTGCTGTAATCCCATGGTTTCTAACTCTGGTCTAGGAGAGCTGCTACAGGGGGAGTAGGCTTTTGTTCCAGCCCAGCACTAACACACATTATTCGGCTATCAACTCATCATCAAGGACTTTAGGATTAGGATTAGTGTAGCTGAATCTGGTGTGTTTGTGCTGGGATGGAAGAAATGCCTGCACATCCTGTAGCGCTCAAGGACTACTGTAGGTGCCATTATAGCTCAACATTGTCACCCTGTGGTGAAAAATGGAACTTCACACACTTCTCTCTAATGCTCTATTCTACAGCACTAGACTAGTTTACATTTTACATTTTAGTCATTTAGCAGACGCTCTTATCCAGAGCAACTTACAGTTAGTGAATGCATACGTTTTTTATTTTTTATTTTTTCATACTGGCCCCCCGTGGGAAACGAACCCACATCCCTGCCGGCCAAACCCTTGCCTGGACTCGAACCAGGATCTCTAGTGGCACAGCTAGCACTGCGATGCAGTGCCTTAGACCACTGCATCGCAGTGCCACTCAGTTTTTCTCAATCGCATTCAAGCTATTTTTGGATCTGTGCTGAAACGTATCTATAGCAGAACAGCAATGATCAAATGCTTAAATACATTTACAGAACTTCTGATCATTTTCTTGACTTTGTACCTTACTTGCATATCTTAGACCATCTTTTGCTAAACTTGTCATCAGTGAATACAGTGTTCACCGAATATTAACACATTGTTTTCATCAGAAGAGAAATGTGTGCAATTGTGTTCACTATTTCTGGCAATCAGTAAATACTACTACACACAATTCTAAATCACCCCATCAGTTTCATACCATGTAAAATATAGGGACATTTCTATGGATATGGGGACTGTCAAAATGTTTTTTTTTTTTTTTTTTTTTTTTTTTTTTTTTTACATATTGCAGACATGCAGATATTCAGAGAATTAAGTTTTGGTTATTTCTAAGTAACTTTGGGTTACTCCTAAGTCATCATCTCCAATGTTGTGATCTTCCATTTTAGAGCTTTGCTTTGGTGTGGAATGAGGCCTATACTGTACATTCATATCAGTTGTGTTCCTCCATTTTGTATTCACCTTTCCTTATTTCTATTGTGGATTGTGTTTCTTTCTGTTTTGTCTGCTTGGACTGAAGAGATAAGTATGGTTGCGTTAATCTTTTTGCAGGCAGTCGTGTTCTTTTTATGAATGTATTAGCAATTTTTACATTATAATATAGTTTATATTAATGTATTTATGTTTTGAGAAGGCAACTACATTTTGAAAACGCATTTACAGAGTTCTGTGTCTTGTGGACTCTGTTTTGAAAATCAACAACATTGTTCCAAAAAATGCATGTAAGTGATTGAGAAAAACTTTTTTACTTGACTTTCCAGGTCTACTCGGCATGGTGGCCCACATGATGTTTACCACAGCCTTCCAGCTGACAGTCAGTGTGGGGCCAGAGGACTGGAAGCCTCAGACATGGGACTACAGCTGGTCATACATGTAAGCACACACACAGAAACGTCTAAAAATCACTTTAATAATATGTCATTTTGAGTTTTTTTTTAAATCTCCCTCTTTACCAGTCCACTTCTCCTACACACATGCCAATAAAGATGTGACTTTGACTTGTAAATGTTTATTTTTTCATTCATAATTCTGTTTATCCATCATCTCCATGTTATTTTCTCTCACTCTCTCTCACTCTCACTCTCTCTAGCCTGGCGTGGAGCTCGTTTACAGCCTGCATGGCCTCCTCGGTAACCATCATCAACCGCTACACCAAGACCATCCTGGAGTTCAAACACAAGCGCAGAAACATCGAGAAGAACCTGAAGATCAAGCAGAAGCTTCTGGAGCTGGACTCTGGACCAGGGGTTGGGGTGGGACAAGTTGGACATGTGGAACAGGTGTGGGACATGTACATCAGCTCAGTACCCAGCTCAGGCTGCACAGCAGAGGAATTGCTGGACTTGTCCAGTAATGGAAGGAAGCTGTCCAATGCTTCAGTGTTTCTGGACCTGAATGACCTGCCAGATCCGCAAAGAGAGGAGTACTGCTGAGGAGGGAACTAGGGGACTGATCAAGGCACGCACAAATACGCATATACACACAAACACAAACACATACAAACAAAGATTACCTGTCATGCACTGCCACCCAATTTACAAACCAAATACCATCAGCAACTGTGACTTCATGTTAGAGGAGATCCAACTCCAAGTTTACCTGACGTTCCAAGCTGAGGTAGAGATGGGTAGAGGATAAGAGAGATGCAGTGGGGGAAAAAAAGTATTTAGTCAGCCACCAATTGTGCAAGTTCTCCTACTTAAAAAGATGAGAGAGGCCTGTAATTTTCATCATAGGTACACGTCAACTATGACAGACAAAATGAGAAAAAAAATCCAGAAAATCACATTGTAGGATTTTTAATGAATTTATTTGCAGATTATGGTGGAAAATAAGTATTTGGTCAATAACAAAAGTTTCTCAATACTTTGTTATATACCCTTTATTGGCAATGACACAGGTCAAACGTTTTCTGTAAGTCTTCACAAGGTTTTCACACACTGTTGCTGGTATTTTGGCCCATTCCTCCATGCAGATCTCTTCTAGAGCAGTGATGTTTTGGGGCTGTCGCTGGGCAACACGGACTTTCAACTCCCTCCAAAGATTTTCTATGGGGTTGAGATCTGGAGACTGGCTAGGCCACTCCAGGACCTTGAAATGCTTCTTACGAAGCCACTCCTTCGTTGCCCGGGCGGTGTGTTTGGGATCATTGTCATGCTGAAAGACCCAGCCACGTTTCATCTTCAATGCCCTTGCTGATGGAAGGAGGTTTTCACTCAAAATCTCACGATACATGGCCCCATTCATTCTTTCCTTTACACGGATCAGTCGTCCTGGTCCCTTTGCAGAAAAACAGCCCCAAAGCATGATGTTTCCACCCCATGCTTCACAGTAGGTATGGTGTTCTTTGGATGCAACTCAGCATTCTTTGTCCTCCAAACACGACGAGTTGAGTTTTTACCAAAAAGTTATATTTTGGTTTCATCTGACCATATGACATTCTCCCAATCCTCTTCTGGGTCATCCAAATGCACTCTAGCAAACTTCAGACGGGCCTGGACATGTACTGGCTTAAGCAGAGGGACACGTCTGGCACTGCAGGATTTGAGTCCCTGGCGGCGTAGTGTGTTACTGATGGTAGGCTTTGTTACTTTGGTCCCAGCTCTCTGCAGGTCATTCACTAGGTCCCCCCGTGTGGTTCTGGATTTTTGCTCACCGTTCTTGTGATCATTTTGACCCCACGGGGTGAGATCTTGCGTGGAGCCCCAGATCGAGGGAGATTATCAGTGGTCTTGTATGTCTTCCATTTCCTAATAATTGCTCCCACAGTTGATTTCTTCAAACCAAGCTGCTTACCTATTGCAGATTCAGTCTTCCCAGCCTGGTGCAGGTCTACAATTTTGTTTCTGGTGTCCTTTGACAGCTCTTTGGTCTTGGCCATAGTGGAGTTTGGAGTGTGACAGTTTGAGGTTGTGGACAGGTGTCTTTTATACTGATAACAAGTTCAAACAGGTGCCATTAATACAGGTAACGAGTGGAGGACAGATGAGCCTCTTAAAGAAGAAGTTACAGGTCTGTGAGAGCCAGAAATCTTGCTTGTTTGTAGGTGACCAAATACTTATTTTCCACCATAATTTGCAAATCAATTCATAAAAAATCCTACAATGTGATTTTCTGGAGAAAAAAAATCTCAATTTGTCTGTCATAGTTAATGTATACCTATGATGAAAATTACAGGCCTCTCTCATCTTTTTAAGTGGGAGAACTTGCACAATTGGTGGCTGATTAAATACTTTTTTCCCCCACTGTGTATACATATATATATATATATATATAAATGATGTGGATAGAGATATAGAGGACGATAAAGAGTAGAAATAGCTAAAGGATGAGGGTAGAGAGAATTCCCAGGCCATGCTGAGTGCCTTTGATTCCAGCTCCTGTCTTGTGATCAACTTCAAACAGCATGCAGAGCACTGAGATGGAGACTGTTACAAAGTTACAAAGGCCAACTTCTATTCCTATTGTTCTTGATATAATGAGACACAGGAGATTCCATTATGTAGATCGTATATGTGCAAACAGACAAAACTCAGCCATTATTATTTCCTGCTCTTTCTTTCCATGTGCAGATAGATGTATTGCTTTTTTGATGATTTCTAGGAAATAAAAAGGTGTACTTGATAATTGTAGTGAAATACGGAAGGCTACAGATAGACATCTCCCATCAATGTACACATTATAGACTTGAAGTTGAATAAACCAGCATCAAATAATTGTATTTCAAAACAGTATTTAAGATCATTATGATTTATACTTTAAAAGTTAGTATAACTTACCTACAGTGACTTAAAGTTCATTTGATAATTTATTTGTGTATATAATGTGTATTACGTTTTCTTATTTATTTATTAACATTCAAATATTTGTTTAATTTAACTGTTGAATTAAGTTACTCTTTTAAAAATATTTCACATTTTCCTGCCAAGTTAAATTTGTTCTTCCTCGTTCTCAAGGCAGAGATGGTTAGGCTCCCATTTTCCATAACATTTTGTGTAAAGTGCTATTCTGGTAACTTCATGTGTGTGATTAATTGCAATGATTAATTTAAATTATAGGAATTCTATGTTAAGATGTACAGAATATTAATACATTTATATCAAATATATAAGAGCAAATTATGAAACATTAAAGAAAGTAACTTGTTTATTGCCAAATGTAATTGTTTATATTGTTACTTACTAATAAGGTTCAGCGTTGATAAAATAAATAAAATACATTTGAATACTAAATCTACAAGCGTACCTTGTTTAATTGACTGATAACTTTAATGTAGAAGTCAGACCAAAAATATTAATTTTTATTTGTTTCTTTTAGAGTGTATTTTTCTGAACTCAGAACTGTGTACAGTTAAATTGACAAAGGAATGGTCAGATAAATTATGTGAGAAGGACCCTACTGTGTTGGGGATCTGATGATTGGGCTCCCGAGTGGCGCAGCGGTCTAAGGCACTGCATCTGGTTCGATTCCAGGCTGTATCCGTAGAGCGGCGCACAATTGGCCCAGCGTCGTCCGCGTTTGGCCGGTGTAGGCCGTCATTGTAAATAAGAATTTGTTCTTAACTGACTTGCCTAGATAAATAAGGGTAAAATATTTTTTTTAATTGGGGAAAGTTTGCGCAGTTCCTCTAATGTCCATTGCAGGGCAGTGGTTACCCATTTCTGTCACTATGGCGGTCTGCCTTATTGCTGATTGAGCTCATTGGGTCTCGCCAGCTTGTAGTCCTCAAATGAGTTACCGCTGGTTCGTTCAAACATTCCTATGGGGGAAATGAATGGCAAATGAAAGGGGTTTTGGGATAAATGCCGAAAATAAGGTCTGAGGTTAACACAGGTTTGGGAGATCATATACGTTTTGTTCTATGAGATAGTATCAGTCAATTAACATGATCTTTATTAATTATGAAACCTTTATATGCTTTATGTGCTTGTTTTGATTACATAAATGCTTCAAAATTCACAAAAGTGACGTTAGCTGATGAAGATTATCTCATAGAACGAAGCGTATAAGATCTGCTAAGCCTGTGTTTAACAAATACCTTATTTTCGGCTTTTTAACCAACTCCCCCCCCCCCCTCCTCCCATTTATTTCCCAATAGGCTTTGGCCAATGAGCCATGGCGGGGTTAGTGCCTACAAAAATACGCAATTACTATTGCTCTCTATTCAACTCAATTTAAGAAGCTTTGTTCCCCTCTCCCTCCCTCTCTCTCTCCCCTGCTCCCTCTCTCTCTCTCTCGCTCTCCCTTACTCTTCATTTTATACACACAACCACCGCATCTATTACAGTACAATAGTGTTGACAATAGTACAAAGATGCAATGTGACATTTGCTTCAAAATACGTTTTATTGTCGTTTTATGTTTTCAAACTAGTGCAAATACATGCAAATAGGAGACAGGGGTCCTACAGCAGCCGGTTGGACCTAAAAAGCTTATGTTGGAGAAAACACCAAATGATACCAAAATATTGGTTTAAAGGTAGACTCAGCGATATGACGTGGATGCAGAAAGTAAACAGCATAGTGGGTCGATTTCGCAACAACTAAGAGCGTTAAAGCCAAGCCTCAGGGTCAGTAGCTTCAGCCCAACATCACACACACACACACACACACACACAAACACATTTTATTTATTTTGTCTATCTCCGAGAAGCTACCAAGGAAAGGCTAAGAATAGCCCATAATAATATACAGTGCAATCAGAAAGTATTCAGAAATTTTTGCAAATGTAAAAAAAAAAAAAACGGAAATATCACATTTACATAACTATTCAGACCCTTTACTCAGTACTTTGTTGAAGCACCTTTGGCAGCGATTACAGCCTCGAGTCTTCTTGGGTATGAACCTACAAGCTTGGCACACCTTGGATGGGGAGCGTCGCTGCACAGCTATTTTTAGGTCTCTCCAGAGATGTTCGATCGGGTTCAAGTCCGGGCTCTGGCTGGGCCACTCAAGGACATTCACAAGACTTGTCCCGAAGCCACTCCTGTGTTGTCTTGGCTGTGTGCTTAGGGTTGTTGTCCTGTTGGAAGGTGAACCTTCGCCACAGTCTGAGGTCCTGAGTGCTCTGGAGCAGGTTTTCATCAAGGATCTCTCTGTACTTTGCTCCGTTCATCTCTCCCTCAATCCTGACTAGTCTCCCAGTACCTTCCGGTGAAAAACATCCCCAAAGCATGATGCTGCCACCCCCATGCTTCACCGTAGGGATGGTGCCAGGTTTCCTCCAGACGTGACACTTGGCATTCAATCTTGGTTTCATCAGACCAGAGAATCTTGTTTCT